TTTTGATCGATAGGCCAGACAGTCTCCAGGAGCTGCTGGTTTTGCTGGGTGCTCAAACGTGCCCCAATGTGATTGGGCTTTGGCCTAGCAGCCACAACCTCATTGAGGAGTTAGAGCGTGAAATTGGTGCTATGGCCCTTTGGCGTGGCCGCCTTTTGGACAGTGGCGTCCGGCCGGGCGTACAGTTCCAGGGCCCAGAAGCTCAGTTCCAAAGTGGAGGCCATGTTTGAGCTCCTCCTGGCGGACTTCCTGGACCTACAAGAGTTGGGAGTCGATAGGGCCATGATGCGCGACCCTGTGAGGCGCTCAAGGAGACCATTATGCCGGCGGCCAGTCGACTTTCTCCTTCCTGAGCAGGAGCGCTGGTGGCAGCCCTTCGTCGTTGGAGGACGTACGCCTTGGAGAACCATTTCGATGTCCGCAGGAGAAGGCGCTGCAGGCACGCCGCCAGATCAAGACTGACAAGCGGCCTACTGTGAGCCAGGTCAAGGGCCAACGGTTTTGCAAACCTTGGAATGACGGCCGAGGCTGCTCGCAGGCCAAGTGCCCCAACATCCACAAGTGTGACGTGAAGCTGCCGACGGGAAAGCCATGTCAAGCTGGTCACACTCGCCGTCAACACCCGGAATAGGGACCGCCCCCTGGGGGCCTGGGAGCCGCGGGGGAGGCGGAGCATACGCTCTCATCACCGGCGCTTGCGGTAGCTGGGCATCCCGCCGAGCCTCACCGGCGCGTTGTCATGGAGTGTGAGGCGGCTCCCCTTCCGAATGTCGAGGCAGTGGGAGCACGCCTGGTGGGCGCCAAGCCTGTGAGCTGGCGTGGCAGAGGTGACCTTTCCGCAGTATCCCTGGGCTAAACCCTTCCGCGGTACATGGCTGGTGGGCAGGCATAGGGGGTCTCTGTGTAGCCCTCTTGTCCATGGGGGTCCATTTCTATGCTTTGAGCGCCGAGAGTGACCCCAACGCCGTGGCTTGCGCATCTCAGGCCATGCCAAACATCGTCCATGTGGACAACGTGGAGCAGGTCCATGGCACTATGTTTCGAGGCCTTCTTCAACGACGGCGGCCCCGTGGTATTTTGGTCGCGGGGGCTCCTTGCCAGGGTAACTCCTCCCTGAACCGCAATCGCCAGGGGCTCAATGACCCACGCTCCTGCCAGCCGCTTGAGCTGAAGCGTATTGTTCAAGAACTTCGTGACGTACCTGAGGCCAACGACTTGGAGATCGTGACCTTTCTGGAGAACGTGACGTGGCGAGTGTGCCCCAAGCTGTGCAGGAGCAGTATAGTGCCTGGCTGGGCTGCCGACCTATCTGCATGGATGCTGCCACTTGCGGCTGGGCGTCGTCGTCGCCTTTTCTGGCTTGGAGCCGGACCGCGTGGAGTGTGTGCACAGTCACCCCCACCTGACTCCTGGATGTGGGCCGACACCCCCACACTTCGTTTTGCTGGAAAAAAGCCGGTGCCTGCGCAGGTGTGGTGGAATGGACCTTTCCTCCCCCTTTCGACCCGGCCCACGTCCTCCGTGATCATGGAACCGGAGCCATGCACCCCTTTACAAGGGAATTTTGGCACCCAGCTGATGCCACGGCTGCGGCAGCTCGTTTTTATGAAGATCATCGTAGGTTCCACCGGCGGCCTATGAGGAGGCGTCCCTAGTTTGGTCTGGGCCAACTTGGCGTCCCTTGCTACCGGCTGAGCGGTGTCTGCTCATGGGCTTGCCGCCGGACCTGGTTGAACCAGTCCAAAAGTCGCAGTCCCGCCGCGCCCAAGTCAAGAACTCTTTGAGTGGAAATGGTTTCCATTTGCCTTGTGTCATTGCTCTACTCACTATGCTCCCTAGCATTCTGTCTACGAAACTGTTGCCTCCAGTGTCCTGTCAAGACGAACTAGCCTTGCAGGAGCGCCTCCACCTCTCAGTTTGGGCACCGGGGAGGCTCCAAGTGACACCCGGATTGCTTCACGCTGAAGATTCGGTACTCCAACTCACAGAGATTTTTCCTTGTGTTGCGGCCGATTCCGCAGTCTGGCAGCGCCTAGCTGCGTGTGATCTGTGCCTGATGCAGGCTTACCCCGCCTGGCGACGCATGCGCCAAGAGCCGTGGAAAGATCTGGGCCCCACACAGATTTGGGGCAGACAGCGCACTGAAATCTATGCTGGATTGTCGGGTCAACGGTATGCCAGTGCCTCCGCCAAGGGCCTGCACCATCTGTTGATGCCGGGATTGGGTAAGGAGGCTCATATGGTAGCGTCTGCTGTCCTGCCGACCCCCTTCCATCTAGGGACTGGCCTGAGCCGGATGTTGGGTTTGTGGTTGAGGCCTTGCTTACGTCTATAGGTTTTCCTCCCGATATACGCTACCAAGTTGCGCCAGGTTCTGCGGACCCTGTTGATCCGTTGGCCAGATATGTCACTGCCTCAACAACTCTTGCATGGTTTTCCGATTGTTGGATCCTTGCCACACTCGGGAGTTTTTCGCCCTACGTGACAAGGCTGATTTGTCTGAGTGGCTGGGCCCCTCAGCCCAATCAGATGTCCAACGCCTGCTCCAAAGTCGACCTCCTGAGCATTGTGACGACATCCACCAGGTTACTCTGGAGGAAATTGAGAAGGGGTTCTGTAGCCCCCTGCGTACTATGTTGGAGATGGATGATGTTTATGGACCAGGCGGCTGGCGAGCTGTGGAAAGATTCTAGATCCTGCAACCTGATGGTAAGAAGCGTGTCATTGACAATGCACGCAAGAGTGGACATAATCACCACACCACCATGCCCGAGACCATCTCTACGGTCAATGTGGACTTTGTGGCCGCTGCGCGCATGGTTGATTCCGCTCTGGACCTGGATGCTTCTCACCCACCTGATTGGTTAGATCTCCGTCTGGGTACGGATGACCTGCCTGATGCATACAGGGGCTTGCCGGTCTGTGATGATCACCTGCGTTACTCCAACGTGGCTATCTACGTCCCTGCAGTAGGACGGCGTTTTACCACCATGTACGGACTTGCATATGGCCTTGAAAGCGCGGTGGTGAATTTCAATCGTTTCCCCCAGCTTGGCATTGCAGTGGTACGTCGTTGTTTGCTCGGTTTCGCTGCGGCGTACTTTGATGACGACCTGGCGGTCGATTTTGTGAAGGACCATGATGTCTCACAGGTCGGCTTGCAATTGGTCTTCCGGTTGTTGGGAGCGTCTCCCCAGCCGGCCAAATCTTTTGCGCCGGGCCGCAATAGACGTTACCTAGGTACTTCAGTCCATGTTGGCGACTTCGTGAGTGAGGGTTTGATCCTTTTTCAACCCAAATTTACCACTGCATCCAAGATCTTGCGTAAGCTCTCGTCTGCCCTGGAGACATCGACATTGTCCCCCGACGACGCAGGCAAGCTACGGGGTGACCTCAACTGGATGTTCTCCATGTGCGCTGGCTACGCAGGTCGCATTGGGGGACCCTTACTGGCAGCCAAGCAGAAGGATAGCTCCCCGGCTTTGTCAGTGGAAGACTGCTTCACTTTGCGGCTTCTTGCGGCTATTGTTTCGTGCCCTGAGCCACGGATGCTTGCAGTCCGGGACGCACCACCTCAGCCTTTAGTCATTTACTCTGATGCTTCCTTTGAAAATGATACACTGCGGCTGGGCTGGGTGATCATGTGGGCAACCCAAACTCCCTCTGGAGTGACTTGCACAGTTCCGACAAATGGCAGCCCCGCGCTCAGCAGATCTACCCAGGAGAAACCTTGTGTGGTTTGCTCGTGCCGTGGTTTCATGGAGCATCCCTCGGTGGCCTCCTTGATCAAAGGCGGTAGCTCCCAATCTGATGTACGTACATACCATGGTACAATTGGCGCACTACTTTTTGCAGCATTTTCGGGTACGTGTCTGGTTCGAATGGGTGGATAGCCACTCCAATCCATCAGACGGCTTGAGCAGAGCCGGTCTTGAGGATGACTGGACACGTAGTCAAGCATGGCAACTCTCTGAGGTTGTTTTCCCCTCGGCTCTGGAGCAGGTAGCCCGCCCAGAGGACCTAACCTCGTTTCTTCCAGTATGGACAGTGGGTGGTGGTTAATATTACAGTGGGTTGGATGGCAAGTTCATCAAAGATGACTTACCAAGCTAGTCTGTGTGTTTGATACCACGACTGAATCCCAGTGTTACTTAATAACACTACTGTCCATATTCTGTGAGCTACTGAGGTCTAGGTACGTAGTTCTCCTGCACCTGCATCGTTTGAGTCATGAGGAAAAGAGATGCTGCCGTTTAGTTGAACCTGCCCTCATGTTTCTTATCCACCAAGGTGAATGGTCTGGTTGGGAAGGGACTCCTTGGGATGTGAAACATGTAAGGGTAGGACTCACACTTGAATGCCATTTTGGCTCAAGTGTGGGTCCGGGTTTCGTTTTTCCCACCCTCCCACATTTGATACCCTCTGCGGGCCCTATAGGGTGTGGTTAGGCTTCGTCTTTTGGGTATCCTATCTCACCCTGTTTCAGGTCCTGGTACCTGTTTCCATGGGTTGGATGGCAAGTTCATGAAAAGAGATGCTGCCGTTTAGTTGAACCTACCTTCATGTTTCTTACTATCACCGTCATCACCATCATCGTTTCCTCCTTTCCTTTGAAGTTGGAAATTCAGATTCACGATGCACGGAAGCCATTCTTGGTCCCTTCTGAAAACGATGTATCGACTGAAATGGTCGCACCATGCTGCCTGGCGTCACGTCCTTCGATCGCCCTGAGATGTTCACCGACATGTCGATCACAATAAAGAGAACCCCTGGTGACCAGGGTGGGGGCTAGACTGTTTAGACCATCCAGATCTTGGATTCTTGTGGGCCTTGTGGGCTCAAAAGATAGGTGTGAGATGTGTTCCACTTCTAGTGCCCACTGGCTGAGTTTCATTGTGTTTAGGGTTTAGGATTTTAGTATTAACTCTGCAGCGGCTCTTGCTGTTAACGTGTGAAACTAGTTTGTGGCCTCTGTCTTCAGTGTGGTGTTTCACAGTCAGGTCGGGTCAGCCTCCAACACGGAGAATGCCCGGAACCCAGTGACTGACACAGTTGCCAGGCTTCGGGGGCTTGGAGAAGATCCTTGTTCTTTGTATACAAAGGAGGGATGGTCTCCAACCTAATACCGATGGACTCCAACATATGAGGTGTGAGGAACACAACCGCCCCGATTCCTCCCCGAACGAAGGCCAAACAGGGCTGGGTATCAAACGGACAACCAATGGAGGGTACTGGATACTTTTTGATAGAGGTATATGGGTATATGGGCATCGATCTAAAGGTCCATGAAAGGAGTTTCATATGGAACAGCCATTTCGGTTACTAAGTACCAACCGGGCGAAAGATCGCGAAAGTTAAACACAGGGTTCGCGAAAGTAATCTTTTTTTTTCGCTAAAGTTCATGTAACCATGTATGTTATTTGTAGGTAAAGGGACCCTTATTTGTTTGCTTACTGTGATCTTTTCAGACCACCAGCTCAGAAGGAAATCAGAGTCTTCCTTTAACTACTATATATACCCATGTACCCGAACTTCTTCTGAATATGTAAGATCATACTTCGCGAAAGTTCGCGAAAGTTAAACATGGGGTTCGCGAAAGTAATCTTTTTTTTTTTTTCGCGAAGAGGCACTTTCCAGATGAAAGGAATTTAGATCAACCACCATATATATATATATATACGCATATTATATACACATAAATATAAATAGAAACTTGGAGATTTCAGCACTGGGCTTAGTGGGTTGGCAGATGACCAACCTTCGCGCGCGCAGTGGACTTGCACAAGCAAAGGCGGTTGCTCATGTAGCAATTTCTTTGCCACGGCCCATGGAGTGCTATGCCGCAGTCAAGGTCGAATGGCCATGGCCATTCAAAACGGGCTTTGGTTATGCACTGCAATAAACCAATGCGTGGACCATGATTTCATCGGCCCAGGATCTCAGGTGAGATGGGGTATGCCTCCCGCAGGGTCGGTCAAGACTTGGGTACTCGAGACGCGCAAAAAGCTGGAGGCTTTTGAGGCTTTGACGGGAGAACAGAAGACGTGAAGCATGTTTGGCTTAGCCAGCTAGCTGCTTTAGGCTGGCTCACAGTTATATGGAAACATGGGAAGCATATGCTTTACCTTAGATCTGCTTCCTGGTTTGTCCTCTGGTGACCTGTCTGCCTCCGATGAGTCTGGAGACAAGTCTGGTGTTCCTACCTTCCTGTCAGCAGGGCCATCTCGAAGGATTTCTCTGGTGATTTCTGCGAGACGAGTTGGAAAGGTTCCCTCGCCCGAGTTGCGTCTCAGTCTGGTGGTGCGATCCGAATCGGTTTCCTTGGGGGTCGATCTGGTCAATCATGACTGGAGCGTGGAATATCGGGGCGCAGACGATCATGCACCTCGGGGTCTAATGGATGATGGGATATGCTGGGTATCTGCGTTTCTGGGTGCAAGCTGCTCCTCGGGGGCCGGTTGGGCATCACTGAGCTGCTGGACGTCAGGAGAGTGGCCTGGCATGGCCTGGCTGTTCGGAACGACTACTTGGCGTCCATGGTCCATGGTCCAGCATTGTTTGTAGAGGCTTGGCTGGCAACCTCAACCTCGCCTTGCATGGTGGCGTTTGTGTTGAGGGTGATTGGGGAATGAAGCTCCTGGTGGTGCTTCCCTTTTGACTCTTTGGCTGGGCGGGTTGCTCCCATATGGGAGCCTTTTGGTATCATGGATGCTTTGCTCAGTGTAAGGAAAAAGGTTGGTATCCAATGGCTCTTGGCGATCTCAATTCTGTATCAGCTTCCCTGAACTGATGGGCTTGCTTCCTCGCATCTCCTGTGCTCCTTCGCAAGCCTTCGTGCGAAAGCTCCTGCTTTGGCATCGGCCGGTTTAGCGGATACCTTTTGGAACCGTCACTCAATCCCTTCAATCAGAAATAACTATTGGGTGATGAGGATGCTGAGGACTCAATCATCAATTTGGGCAATCACAACCCAGCTAGTGCTTGCATTGTTTAGTTTTATGTTCAAGCATGGTCTTGGGATGCCTTAGGGATTGTTGCCGGACATTCTACTACATGGGAACCTTCAGCTGATGGGGGCGAAACAGTCCACCATGTCAGGTGACTTTGGTGCCCGACAATCTGGTGGTGCCCGAGGCTGGTTGAACAGTGTGCGCTCCCCACCATGGAGGCTTATGATAGTCCTTGAACAAAGGGCGAATGAACAGAGATCGGACAATACATACAGTATGCTTTACAAAGGATTTCGCATGCCACCACTACCTCTGCCCACATCGGATTTCAGTCCGTGCCCCAAGAGGCCCTGTGGGGTACAGCACACACGCGCCAGTTTTGGCCAGGCTTCATCGCTCTACCCGATGAGTAGCTCTTCAAACCCTCATTTTCCACAGGTTCCCAAGGCCAGGGCCGTCTTTGAATGTTTGAGTGGATGCCAAGCTATGGGTCTTGGCCTTGTTGTTTGGGACGCCCACAGGGTCTATCAGGGCCTCAGGAGTGGATCTTTTCCAAATTGTTGATTGGAACATGGCACCTTTCCAAGACCAGTGTCCTGACCCCACAACGTCTACTTTTCAGATTCTATGCGAGTGATTGTGGGAGGGCACAAAGATTTGCATCATGTCTGCTGCCGGCTTTTTGTACCGGTTCCACTTCGATGTCAAGGCACTCAACTCCATCTCAGACCGGTTTTTAAAGATGACTGGGCCCAAGGTTGAATGAGAACTGCTGGTTCAACATGTTTCGAGAAACATATTTAGAGAACTCAGGTCTCCCTTTTGATCAGAGCTTTTTAACTTTTGGATCCCTTCACCTGAGGCGGGCTCCATTGCCGACCTGCCCAAGGACGGGACCAATGAGACAGTGAGGTATCCAAGACTGGGTGCGGAAGCGGGCTCTGTGTACGGAGGTGGGCATTTTCTGATAAATTCCCACGTCTGATCGGTATGTTCAGAGAACCCCCAGCGAGGTGAATCGTTTGTTTCTCCTTCCATTCTCAGATTGAATGCTTGTTTCGCAGAAAAATCCACTGAACACCCGCGCTGCGGCTCAGCAATGGCTGTTCCCCCATTGCCCAGTTGGCAAGAGTGATCCATACTTGGCAGTTTGCTGAGGGTCCAAGCTCCTGGAGCCTCTGGAAACCGCACGGCCATTGGCCGTGAACAGAGGAGTGTTAGTGGAACATGGAAAAGCCGTCATCTGGAAGCAGCGTGGTCCGAGTGGTTTGCGTTGCACACTCTTGTTCAACCTTTCCAGATTGAGGTCCACGTATCCAAATGTTTTCTCAAACATGTGTCCATTCTAGGGTGTCTCTTTGGGGGTCTGACCATCATAGATGGCCCCAATCATGAGGCGAGCAACTTGGACACTGCCCGCTCAGCAGTGTCCGTCGGGAGCCCCGAAATGGCGCAAGCGAAGAGTTGGAGAGGAGCTCGAGTGCTTTTACTTTTCAACAGGGTGTTCCATTTGTGTTTTTTTTGCTGTAGTGCTTTTCCTTTTCCGGATCTGTTGTGCATCAGGCACTTGCTACGGGATTATATAACTGTGATTAACTTTTTGATGGATATGTTTTTAGTCCATCAGTTAGGAACTCACTTAGGAGCTCATTTAGATTTAGGTGTGATGTTTTTGGTACAACGTCAACAAAACAGACACCCGAAAGCATCAGCTGAATCCTTGACACGGCCTGAGTCCAAACAAGCATTGACCGGACGCAAACAGCTAACTGGTGTACTGTGTTTTTTTTTGCATTTTGCTCATGCTTCAAAACCATGCTGAGCCCTGAAGCAATTCTGTTGCTGAGGCGGGGATGGCCGTGAGCAAATTGTGGAAAACGTTGCTATACGCATCCCACGTTCCCCTTATCCATGCAATCTGGTTCGCGTTTTGTTTGACATCCCGAATACATTTGTGGCTCCAAAAGATGTATTTCGTTCCAAGCCGGCCTTTTGGACTTCGAGGCTAGCTCCATGTCTCCAGAAGAGAAGGCGCAGTTGGCCGGGCAGAACTGGCACAAGGTAAATAGCATGTGGGCTGCTAAAGTCACTGTGCATGGGCGACCCTTTTCGCCATACTTTTATTTCCCAGACTCTTTCTGGGGCCTCTTCCATGACTTGTCAGATTCAATTCAGCAACGGAAAGCAGCGAGAGCCATGACCAGATTATATATATATATAGAGTAGTTGTTCACACATATTTCCTCATCGGCCTTTTCTCTACTTTTCAACAAGCCAAGCTCAGAGTTGCCATGGTTCGGGCGGGACGACACTGTTGACCATCCTTCCAAGTATTGTTCATGGTCCACTGAAGAACGGTCGATCGACTATCCAAAAACTGGACTGTCAGATGTCCAACCATTTCTTCCAGAGTTCATGCATCTGTGCGCATGCCATCGTTTGCGCTTGCCATTTCAGCCCTTGCAGTGCCAGCGGCGAAGAATTGCCTGCCGGCACATGGAAACGACATGGCATGATGCACACCACAGCTCACAGCATGACGCAGTGAAACCGGATCTGACAGAAGCTCCCAGACTTTTGTAAGTTGCAGTGTTCGTGACTTAGCTGAATTCTGCAGCAAGACGTTGATGTGACCGAAACCATGAAGGCCGAGGAAGGACACCTTGCAGACAGCCTTCACCACAAGCCGGAACATCCTTCAACCCAGCAGAATGTCCCAGACACAGCTGTGTCAGTGATCGACGTAGAAGGCACAACCCGCACACAAAAAGTTTGTGGGCCATCGGTGCCTGCAGCTTTCAAAGTCATTGTGTTGCAGGCTTCTCGGTTGAACTTTGGGGCAAATTCAGCTGTGAACTTCTAAGCCTGGCATGAACCTCCCTACCTCCCTACCTGACATGAAGGCATTAGGCTCCCTACCTGACTGCCTTTCCGACTAACCAGCGGGAAGATGCGGAGACCGATGTTTGGTGGAGGCAGGAGGCCACAAGTGTTGGGTTAGACTCACAGACTGATGGTGATTGTTGTTCCTGTCTCAATTTGGGAGATTAACTAGCTATAGCAACCATAGGTCCCCTGTGTGTTGCGGCGACATTGTGACCAGTGACTAGATGATCCTCTGGTTTCCACGAGCCTGTAGAGTAGAAGTGGTTTTGGGCGGATAGCCCTCTGTTGTTTCCTAAAGGGCAAGCTGCTTCTGAAGCATTCCTTCGCGCCTCTTGAACTCACCACAGGATAGTGCAGGTCAATAGGGTCCCTTGGTGCCCGGGAAGGACCGCTCGCAGAATTCGCAGACAGCCCAAGGTTTCAACGATTTCAATGGAAGCCTCGATGGAAGTCGATCTGAAGGCACGACCCGAGCGGGTGCATGGAAAGGATGCACAGCAACGGCTGGAGTTCCGGCCAAATGACCTAGGCCCCATTTGGGACCGAAGCTGTGGCACTTTCCGTAGTCTGCTGGCAGTGCAAGGTAGGCGATTTAGCAAGCGTCAAGCTGGACGGCCGACCCATGGGAGACGGAAACTAGAATCAGATGAGATGAGCGTGGTGATATGGTCATGCTACCGAAGCAGAGTCCCTGAACATGTCGAGGTCGGGCTTCCCCCCTTGTCCAAGCTCAGGGTGGACTTGCCAAGCTTTCCGACACTGCCGACCACAAAGCAAACTTGCCCCAGATCTGGTGCAACTGCCGAACAATTGCCATAGAGACTGGTTGGAGGTCGGTCCCAATATGCGGATTGATATGGAATGGTCACCATTTCCAACACATTTCTACAAGATATTTCAGATTATTTCAGGTGATGTACCGAATTTTCTTTGCTGTCTTGTGCTGTTTTCTCCCCAAATCCACCGAATCGATCCACTCCTGGGCGTCAGGCCACTGAATGGGATCGTGAGACGTTGATGCATGCACGCTGGTTGACCGGGTGTCAGGACCGGACGATGGGTGGCCGGGCAGGGAGGTTCTTGTGACGCTCTTGGTCGCTGTTATGTAGTTCATTATTACTTTTCTTCTGGAAGAAATGCAGGTGTTAGCTCGTTTGACCGTTCCTTGTCCTCCTTTTTTTTTGACATTCGGGACCCGACTCCCAATTTGTCTGAAATCAGCCACAGGAGTGTCAATGATGAAACCAAAGCAACAAGTCCAGAAAAGAACCGATTTAGAATGCATGTCTGAATGGGATCGACTTGCGATCTATTTGGAAATCGATCAGCAAACTTTGTTTTGTGGTGGCTAAGGTACCTCCAGGCGTTTTCTGCAGGACCGTAGGACTTCTGTGGTAATTCTGAATTGCTGTTCCGGTTGATATGCCTGATGTTCTCATGCATTTCTTTTTTCACAGAGTTACATGAGGAGGCAAGGCTGCTTGCTTTGAAGCAGTGGTCAGTGGTGGGTGAAAAGGTGAAACCGTGAAACCTTTCTGAGTGGTCTTTAGGTGGGCACACACCTTGAGTATCTTGGCATAATTTGACCATTTGAGAATGGCATAGGGAAAAGTAGGCGGCTGGGTACCGCAAATTATTAGTCAACTATGAAGACAGTTTTCCAATTGCTTCATCAAGGGATTTTTTCTTTTGGGTTCTTGAATTGGCCTAGCAAATCTCGCAGCGGCATTCTGTCTGATTCGAACCGCGAGGAGCTGAAGGAAGGGAAGGTGCGCAAATCCATCATCCGTCAGATCTGGCTTCCAGGCCTGGCGGCCAAGGCGGCCAAGGTGACCAAGGTCCAGGCCACCAGTCTAAAGAAGTGTGGTCTCACAGCTTTAGAGGTTCTTACTGAAACATAGCGCCATGTGCTGGAATACTTGGGCCGGGTTCGTGACACAGCAATGGTGGAGCCATGGTGGAGCCGTAGATCACAGCAATCACAGAAACCCGTATATATACAATATACTATAAATACCACACCCGATCTCTTCTAAGACCCTCCTTCAAATGCACATGCTGGTGCCAGATAGACGACTCACAGATATGTTGCCTCAGAGTTTTCACGGGAAGGCCTTGCAGCAACAGAAAGGTCCAAGCAACGTGTGCAGATGTTGGTGCTTGGGACCCGGCTTGGACACTCACATTAAACAGCGCTCGTTGCGACCTTCAACAGAGATGTGCTTTGTGAGCTTCTTGGAACACTCAAGCCGGGGAAGTAGGGGAGCCCTTAGGAGGGTGATCTTAAGGGGGATTTTGTATTTTACAGTGGGAGTTGTTTTTGTTTTTAGTGGCTAGGTAGCTGTGATGGCTTTTGGCTTTTGTTGCTTTTGTGGCTTTTGGCTTCTGTGTGGCTTTTGGGTTGTGTGGTTTTTGGCTTCTGTGTGGGTTTTTGCTTTTGTGGCTCTTGGCTTCTGTGGCGTTTCAGCGCCCCCCCCGCTCTTTATGAGCTTTTTTCGTTTGTCTTTTTCTCTGAGAATGGGGCTCAGCTCTGTCTACGGCAAACCTGTCCATACCAAAAAAACACTTGACCCAGGAGCACCAGCAACAAAACAATGGAAGACATAATTTCCATCGTGATGCCTCTTCTATCGAAACCTCTACCCTTTATGACTTATCTATTGAAATCTCTATTAACTCCCATGTTTTTAGTTTTCTATTTTGTATTTTTTAACTTTTTAAAGTCAAAGTATCTACTTTTGAGGCACTTTTCTAGTCAAAATCTCTAAGATGCCTTTCCCCTTAAAATCTCTACTTTTGATAACTTTTCTCCTGAAACATGTTTGACAAATTGTCTACTGAATTCTGTGCTCTTGATTGATAACTTTACTAGTCAAAATCATTCATTTTGACCCATTACCATCGCTACTTTTGATAACTTTTCTGTTGATATATCGATGTCGGATTATATTTATTTTGCAATCTCAACAGGCTATCTTTGTTTTTAAAAAATTGAACTCTCTCTCTTTTGATGAGTTGTCTATTGCATTCTTTGCTTTTGATGACTCTTCTGGACAAAATCTCTACTTGTAATGCCTTTCCCATTGAGAACCACACCATTGCGACATCACGCGCGTCTGGTATTTGACGACACCGGTTTACCGATTTACACCGGTTTAACCGGTTTACCGATTTACACCGGTTTACACCGGTTTACCAATTTACACCGGTTTACCAATTCACACCGATTTACGCCGGTTTACTTGAGAGCAGTAGATCACTTGAGAGGTAGGTCACTTGGGAGCGTCTACATTACGACCGCATAGGGTTTTACCACCTAGTCTTGACGAGATTCACAGAGGTTCATGTCAAGCACAACCTTTTTCAAGGCTGTTTCCGGAAGAATGTGTTCAAGGGATGCTAGACATGCAAAGGACAAAGCCGACATCACAAACATCCCAAAGGTGTCCTTTTTGAACAATTTTCAGGACAAAAAATACACATGTTTTTGTCCTGAAAAGTGTTCAAAAAGGACACCCGCATTTTCAGCATCACCATGGTGCCAAACCAAGTGGTGCTCAGTGCAAGCCATCAGCGCACATGTTTGCATATAAATCCAGCCGGTGATTGGTGCCTTTTGAAGAATGATAGAACGACTACACACTGCAAATCGTAAACATCTCTAAGCCAGCAAACCTGTAAACCCGCGTAAACCCGCGTAAACCCGTAAACCTGCGTAAACCCGCGTAAACCCGCGTAAACCCGTAAACCCGCGTCACCAAATTCAGACACATTTCCCGCTGCACTGAACCACACAGACCACCAAAAAACAATTAAAAACCAACTAACAAAATAAACTCCCGATGAAAGTCCCGACCCGAGCTCTTAGGTTTTCGCGAATGGCCAAGTTTGGCAATCAAGGCAGAATGATTGCAGTCATCTCCTCAAAGCTTTTCATCCTACTTTTGCCTCCAGAACAACTGATTTCGGGGAACAAGTTTCGTCCTTCATGGTTCATGGACGCCTTTGCCTCGTGTTCGCATACGTGCCAGATGAGTGGTTGGCAGAAGAGGAGTCCTGGGCTGAGGGGTGAAGTTCTCTCTACGGCTCTGAATCGATGGGCGCGACGGGCGTGATGGGTGTTTCGGGTGCCCCCTTAGAGCCAC